CGGCCATTTAGTGGTTTTCGCAGAAGCGGCTGCAGGTCCGCAAATGCGGAAATGCCTAAGTAGATTGTATATATTTCGGGAGTTTATTCATTTTATCACATTTTGAGTTATGGAGCTCGGATTTGGGCGATTATGGAGAGGGTTTTCAGCACATGGATTTGGGTAAGTATTTTTGACTCGGTTTCGATTATATTCCATGATTCCATCTTCTATATTGGCATGTGATTGATGATTCTAAAAGAGAAATTGGTGGTTTTTGCATAAATTTTACTAAAGCGAATGATTGGGTTTTGAACATTGATTCGAAATCAAATTTGAGTGAAATTAGTATAGTTGGATTCGTATTCAAATGGGTTGTCAGAATTTGTGAGTTTTGTCGGATTTTGAGGTACGGGCCCAGGTTGACCTTTTGGTTGACTTTGAGTATTTGATTAATGATTCGACCTTATTCGTTTGGGTTTGTTTCCCTTAGTATTATTTGATGATTTGAGTTGCTTTTGGCTAGTTTCGAGCCGTTCGAAGGTCGATTTACGCGGGATGGCATTTCTACAGTATTGTTTGCCTTGCTTGGTATTTGATTTGGCTTGCTTGAGGTAAGTATCCTATCTAAACTTGGTTGAGGCACTAGTTGCCTCAGTTATTTGTGATAGCTACGTGCTATGGGTGTGCATATGTATGGGGGTTGAGCCCATTGCGAGCACCGGGGTATTTATCTATGCTCGGGGTAGTGCTTAGGCTATGACATGCCTTGAGTTGAGTGATAAGCCTCATAATGTGATGTATCTCTTATTTGTACCCCATATTGTGAGCTATTTGAGGTTGCATAGAGGTTAATCTCCTGATTTAGCCCGATAGCTGCTATTTTGTGATGTATTCACCTGTTTTGAGCTATGGTATCACACTTGCACATGCATACACCTTAGCATGTCACTTGTACTAGTCCAGGATTATGAAATTTGATGTTCTTTGATCATGTACATGTATTCTTGTATATCTACTTTATGTGTGATATGGTTTGGACTGGTAGTTTGTGACCACGCTGGATGAATTTTGATATTGTGCCTATGACTAAGCCGGACGGATTGTGATATTGTGCATGTGATCATACCGAGCAGATTGTAATATTGTGCTTGTGACCACGCTGGCGGATTGTGATATTGAGCATGTGACCACGCTGGATGGATTGTGATTATTAGCATGTGAGTTATCTGTACGGATCTAGATATTGATATTATTGGCACGTGAGTTATCCATCAAGCATGTGAATTGTCCATTCGATTGATATTATTAGCATACGAGTTATCCGTGCAGCACATGAGTTGTCTGTGCAGCGTGTGGATACGGATCCATCCCCCTAGGTTCACCCTCTCATGTTTCTCTCTTGATTGTGTACACGCGGATTGTGAGAAACCGGAGGGTTTTTGGTTAATGTGAGCTCTAGGAGAGCTGGTTACTTGTTATGTTTGATTACTGAGATTCGGATGTGGGCCTGAGAGCCATGATGTGATTTCTATTTCGATCAGGTTGCGCGGTGCAACAGATTGATATATGATTATTGCACTTCTTCTTTATTTGCAATACTCCTTGGCTGTTTATCTGAATAATTTTATATCTTCCTTATATATTGGATTGTTGACTAAGCAGAGTATGTTAAAGATATTTTGTGCTCCAAGGTGATCTTATATGAAATTTTATGATTCGTTCATATTATTATTCCGTACTTGTTGGAAATTATGAAGTGTACGGGTCATTGGCGAGTATCATTTATAATTCTTGCTTCTATTACCTCGCTGAGGTTAGTTATGATACTTATTGTGTACATGGGGTCGGTTGTACTCATACTACACTTTTGCACCTTGCGTGCAGATCCTGGAGTTGATGTTGCTTCATATGGCGGGAGCTGGCATTAAAAACGTACTTACTTTCCAGATATAGCTACCATTTATCCTTGGTAGAGTTAGATTTGTAATTTGTTATATACATTTCAAAGAGATGTTGTATTTATTTTATACTATCTTTGTAAATCTAAGTCTTAGAAGCTCATGATTTATATTACCAATCCTTGGGATCTTGTATAGAAATTCAGTTATTTTTTACCCATTGACTCCTATTACTCTCACTTGAGTTGTGTTGAATGTTATTTGGCTTACCTAGTGGGTTGGGTTAGGCGCCATCATGACTAGTTGGATTTTGGGTCGTGACATTTATGAAATGTTGAAATCAAATAGTCAGCAAGTGTCTTTGACACAGTTGATAATCAAATTGATCAAGATCTTGTTCTTGATCCGAGTGGTAGTGGTAATTCGCAATCCCAAAATCCTTCTGACGAAACTGAATTTTAACTACGAAAGAGTACCAGAAAAAATATATCCAAACATACTTATGAAGTTGAAGATTACGTTTTCTTGGTATCTCGCACATAAAAGGATGATCCAAAGTCTATGACTGAGGCTTTATGGGCCCTGCAAAAGATGAGCGAATGAAAGCAATAAAAAATGAATTAGCCCATGAAAACCAATAAAGTTTGGATGTGTTTGACCTTCCACCTGGGCAAAGAGCCATTGGGAACAAATTGGTTCTCAAAGTTAAATGCAAAACGGATGGGTCAATAGAAAGATACAAGACACGATTGGTGGCAAAATGCTTTACTCAAGAAGCTGGAATAGATTATGAGGAAACCATTTCACCCGTTGTGAAGTTTACCTCAATTCGCTTACTTCTGGCTATTGTTGCACATTTAGCTTTTGAATTAAACCAAATGGACATGAAGACAGTTTTCTCAATGGAGAACTAAATGAGAAAATCTACATGGAATAACTTGTAGGCTTCATTGTTAAAGGCCAAGAACAAAAGGTCTGTAAATTAAAAAGGATCTATTTATAGCTTGAAATAATCTTCAAGGCATTGGTATTTAATTGTCATGACCCAAATCCCATAATAGGTCACGATGGCTACCAACAATATGGTTAGGCAAGCCAACAGTGAACCTCCAATTTAGTTATCCATTTTACCCTTTAAACTTAGAAAATTTCATTTAAATAAATATAAATTAAACATAAAACTCATAGAAACATAAGCACTACTTTACAAAAATAACGGGTACGAATAGTACATAAAGTAAAGTGATAGTAACAATAAGTACAACTGTGAAAGTCCACTAGAAGCCCCCAAAACCCGATGTCACAAGTGCATGAGCAATATAGGGAATATACATAACTACTATAGCTATTGTATGAAATGAAATAGACAGAAACAGTGAATAAGATAGAGGAAGACTCCGAGTGCTGCAGATTGATGTATGGAAGGCAGCTCACCACTAAGTCTCCCTGATGCGTTTACGCGCTCGTGTGACCACTGGAAGTACCTGAATCAGTACCTGCACAATCAGTGCAGAAGTGTAGCATGAATACGTAAATCAACGCATACCCGGTAAGTATCTAGTATAACCTCGAAGAAGTAGTGATGATGAGTCGACTTGACACTTACTAGTGGTCAAAATAATAAAAATATATAAAATAGACAGGTATGAAATGCAACAAGTAACAACGAAACAGATAAACTTTAATAATAAATTTCCAACATGGATCCTTACAAAATCACTAAGATGTCCTAACTAGACCCGAAGGAACAAAATCAACTGATATCAATACCAAATCAATCCCAAGTGTCACACACAAGTATGCCGAGGTGAACGACCCGATCCCATAAGAATAGTGTTACACAATACTGCCGAGGTGAATGGCCCGATCTCCTAAGAATAGTGTTACATAACACCGCCGAGGCGAATGGTCCGATCCTATTAGAATAATGTTACATAATTCTGCCGAGCCAAATGGCCCGATCCCATAAGAATAACTTATAACACTGCCGAGGCGAACGGCCCGATCCCATAAGAATAGAGAAACTCTCTCACTCGCGAAAATACATGCGAGTCGTGAAGACACGGAACTATCATTCATTAATATTTCACAATTTCCAAGGTAAGAGGCTTGATCATTAATTTTATTCTAGTCTCAATCTCAGTCGTAAATTAAAAAAATCAAACAAACAAGATTAATCCAAATAGTACATTTAAAGCATGATGTGAATCTAAGTCTACCCGAACATAAGCATGAATCTAGCTACGTATAAACTCTTGTCACCTTGTGAGTACGTAGCTCCCACAACAAGTAGCACACAACGATTAATACACTCATGGGGATGATTCCCTCTTAAAAGATTAGGCAATAGACTTACCTCTCTTCCAAACTCACTACCCGACTCTTAAACCTCACTAGAAATCCCCAAACGACGTTGAGCAATCCGAAACTAATCAAAAGTCGTACAAACTAATCAATATATGCTCAAAAGTTCATAATTCATCTATTAGAGTAATTTTCCAACTCAATTCAGAATGTACATAATAATCATCACCGAGGCTCCGGCCCACGTGCCCGGATTCCGAAAATGTTCGAAGATAATTTTTACCCATGATCTCATGAACTAAAATATATAATTTATTCTCAATTCCATAATCAATTTCTGTCACGACCCAAAATCAAACTAGTCGTGATGGCACCTAACCCGCCCCGTACTACAAGAAATCGGCCTTTTTGCGGCAGCTAATGTCGCCACAAATGGTAAGAAAGTCGCCACTAGTTTTTAGCAGCGACTATGGGCTCGCTCCAAGCACTACCGTTATTGAACGTTTATTGTGGCAACTCTAGAGAGTCGCCACAAATACTACACATTTTGTAGAGACTGAGGTGGCCTCAAAAACATGTTTCACAAAATTTAATTTAGGCGGGTCGTTACTAAATAGTGACATATAGTGGCGACTGTAGTCGCTATAAATGACATTCAGTAGCATTTTTCTTGTTGCCACAGTAGGATTTTCTTTTTGTGGTAGCTAGAGTCGCCACTAAAGCCTCTTTGTTTTTACAAAAATAATAATAATGCAATAGCCAATAGTATTCTTGCTAATTTACCAATAGCATTATCATTATAATGAACACCATGGATACTCTTAAATAAAACTGTATAGAAACTTTTCATTACCAAATAGTCTGCAACAAAGTACATTACGCTCTATAATACACTGTCACTGCACATACACATGGAAAAAATAACATCAAATGTGTTCGAACTCCTACTTATTGAATAACCTTATCCTTCGCTATTTTAAGAAACAAACCCAAAGGAATACGTCTTCAAACTATTCCAATATCTTCAAGTTACTCTAATGTCTTCAGGCTACTCCTTGAGCAACTTAATTTTGTTGAAGTACTATCTCCTTGCTATTAAAAAAATAAAGAATAACAGTAATATATGCATGCATACAAAAAAGAGTTGATCTTAAGCCAAGTACTAAAGGAAAGCATATGAAAAGGAAAGGTCTACTACAATCAGAGAGAACCATGGCAAGTGAATGTCTTTCAAAAAATTCACACTCATCCAAACTGGCATTTTAAGCGAAAGTTGGGTCTTCCGGTATGCTTTCCCGAAGGTGTAAAAGACTTTTTCAAGTTTGATTGAATTTTCATTGTAAGCCTAATGGAATGAGTAATATTAAGTTTTGAACGTAAAATTGTCTGTGCAGCCAAAAGATCCAGACACATATTCAGTTATATCTAGTAGAAGGAACATTAATTACATTTTCCTTCTAGTTCTTATCTCAAGCTATAAACTCACACTATGCTATCTTGTCAGCAATGGAACCTTTATATGGTGATCAACAACAGAGTAAGCGAGAAATTTAAGCTAAATTTTACTGTGTATTATGAAACTTACTGAAACATATCTGGTGTTCAGTGAACGAAAATAATTTTATTAACAGATTTTGATACTAAAGAAAAAAATAGCATATACCAGTAACTTCCCAAGATGTTTTCCTATGAATCTGGTTTGTTAAGTACTTCTCTGTAATAAGGATTTTGCATAAAAAAGTGAAATCTACTAGAGTAGTATTTTCTCTTTGGTTTAAGATCGGAAATCATGCCAAATAGCATTAGTTGTGATATGATTTATCCTTCTATTTAAATATGTAAGGAAAAAAGGTCATAAGCAAACATGAGCTCAGAGTAGATAATAAGGCATATGCAACTTATATTGCATTGACATAGTCAGTTCATATAGGCACTCCTCCTGGCCTAACAACTTTTCTATAACTAACTACAAGATACAAGAAGAAAATGGTTGAATTTCCTATGTCACATGTCATAAGGAAATGGTAATTAATAAAAATCAGAAGGAAAGGAAGGAAATCACATGTCAACCTATCTCAAAACTCGTCTAAGTCGTTAAAAACATGAAAAGTCTTAACTATGTCGTAAGGAAAGGAAAATTTCAATTTCTATTTAATGAAAGGCTTAATACACTTAGGACAAAGAGAAAAATTATATTTTGGTATGTTACCAACAAAATGTCATCTTTTACTTGAGACAAAGTCAAAAATCATAATTTTGATAATGACCTAGAACTGTTATCACATGGCATCTGCCCTTCCATTTCTTAACTGTGCAAAATAAATTTACAGTTGTACATTTTTAAAATAGCTTTAACTGCATATCAATCTCTCTCAAATCATAAACTTATGCCAAGATATTCAAATCAAGGAGTAACTTTGTGTTAAAAATTTGTACTTTGTCAAGCATATGAAAAGGAAAACACTCATGGAAGAGGCAAAAAAAATTAAAGTGCATCTCCACCCAAATACAATAGACTAAGAGCTAGCACAAAATTTAATAAACCCACCAACTAGAAGAACAAAAGCAAGGTTGAACATACGATTTGCCAGACAAAGTTTCAAATTCTGTAGACTATTAAAAAGAATAAAACAAAAATAAAGAAATTATCTTATCTTTAGTTGATTATACATATTGACTATTGTTTCATGGAATGTAGATACAAGATTTCAATATTTGGCAATAATTTCTTTCCTATCTGAAATGAATCACATCTATAATTAAATATTGCTTGATTTACCAGATTTCAAGTTCAAATTTTAATAAAAAGTGAACAGAAGTCAACACCAATTGTAATAAAGGGAGCTTCAAACAAACCAAGGCATTTTCTAATTTATTCTATAATATAATTTAATGGTGGAAGATTGCTTACAGTAAATGCTGATGATATCAGCATTTGCTTCTTAAAATCAGGTACTATCTGCTTAAACTCGGCAATCATCACCGATGGTCCGTATAACTGAACATTAGGAAAATATTTTCATGCGTGTAGAATTTTTAATATTTTACGACATGAATAATTGGAAACACTATATGCACATCCAAATGAGGATCTGTTATAGGGCACAATGAACCAACAACAATTTCAATTAAGCATCACCCTTCTCTAGTAAGCCATTTCAATTTAAGCAGAAACCAATTTATGTTCCAATACAAAATATTGTAATTTACTTTAGCAATCAAAATAGAGATCTCCAGTTTATTTAACAGATAGTGAGATCTAATACCACCAACCTACTCCCAAAAATTAAGATGCAAAATCATCAGCTACAAGCAATAAATTGAGAGGAACTCCATTTTTTCGGAAAGTATCATAGAAAGGACACTTGTCCACATTCTTTGTCAAGAAAATATTGATAAAATATTCTCATGCTTTGCCAAGAAAATATCGTCTCATACCGAGGGTGAAATATCTTAATTGTACTCCATAATTGTCAATTACTCCTTCCAATTTTCATCTAGTCCCTCTCTCGCCATTTTTATTTAGGTTAAGAAAATAGCAAAAACTTTTAGAAAGGGGTTTTTTTCCCTATAGAGTTGAAAGACTTCAAGATATAAGAAGGCAAAGAAGAAACAGAATAGAAGAACTTATTTATATTTGCACGAACTAAGATTCACAGTTAAAACAGAGACAAAGGTAAGAAATCTAAAAGGGAAGAGAGCGATAGAGAGAGAAGAACCGACGGAAATATTTACCGGTAAAGGAATTGTCGATGAGTTTGCCGGTCACAGCAAAGGGATAGAGGATCCAGAATTTCGCAGCCGATGGAACTTTGTTGAGAAGTGTATTGTAGAAAATGATTTTGGGGGTGTTTTTTCTCGTTTGTCTAGGGTTTGTTTTTGTAATCTTTCATTTTAAAATCAAAATTATTAGTGGCGACTTCGCTGCCACAATAGATGGGTATATCTAGGGGCGGCTTCCAAGTCGCTACAACAACCTCATATTAGTGGTGACAATTCATCAGTCGCCACAAACGAATCTTTTAGCTAAATTTTATTTTTTAAGTGAGGAAAAATTTTGACTTTAGTTACACCTATTTGTGGCGGATCTTTTTTTATTGCCACTAATATGTTACTTAATGTGGCAACTATCTAGGTCGCCACTAAAACCCTTAATATTGTGGCAACTTTTTTCGTCGCCACAAAAGGTTGCCACCGAAAACCATAATTCTTGTAGTGCCGCTAGGTAAGCCACTTAACAATAACACAATCCAAATAAGATTAATGAGAAACAAATGATGGAATAACTGAACTTTTATTCAACAACTCAAGGACTGGTAGTACAAGTCATGAGCCATTAAGACTTAGATTTACAAAATCGAATTGATATAATTATAACATATGTTTGAAATGTACATGAACAAAATTCGAATCTAAAGCTACCTACCTCAATTGTGATTCTTGATATATACTCGAGGCGGTATCTCGGTGGTGATTCTTATTGTACACGAGGTGGTACCTTGTTGTGATTCTTGTTGTTTATATCATGTTGCAAAGAGATTTGGTAGGAACACTTCTTGTTGTTTGTTCTTCCTTATTTTTATCAGTTATTGTCCGTATATAATCATTGTGGTTCGCTTTAATTGATTCTCTTATGGTATTTCCATGCTTACAATTCTGGTATTAGTTCTTACTATTAACTTGTTTTGTATCAATTATTTCTCTGCCTTCTAATATTTACCCTTATTATGCTTTCTGTACTGTTTATTTATATCCTAGCAGGAATCTTGATCTGGCCTCGTCATTACTCTGTTTGATACTTACTGGGTGCCATTGTGGTGTACTCATATTACGCTTCTGCACATCTTTTTATGTAGATCCGGGTACATTAGTGATCGACTGCTAGCTACTTACGAGAGTTTAAGGTATGCCTGCTCGGCGTCCACAGGTCTCAGAGTCATCTTCCTTTACTTTTACTACTGTTGTATTTTTCATCCAGACAGTAATGTAGTAGACATTCTAGCTTACTCTGTAGAGCTTATGACTCAGTTCCGCCAGTTTTGGGAAAGTGTTTTGTTGAGATTCTGTTTATGGGAGATTTTATGAGTTTATTAGACCTGTTTTAGTATTTCTGTTAATTATTTCTGTCAAGTTTCTATTGAATGTTAGGCTTACCTAGTCGTAGAGATTAGGTGCCATCACGACATTCTACGGAGAAATATTGGGGTCGTGACAATAGGTGTCCTAGTATACCTTAAATTCTAGGTGGAGACTCTAAACCTTAAATAACCTTGTAGAGTGCTATAAGTTGTACGTTGTTTTGAAAAATAGGGTGCAACAATCTCTTTCGAGGATGAGGGATCAGATAACTAGCTATTGGAGTAGCAAATGATAGTCTGGGGTATTGCGAGCAATAAGATCCTCATGTTAGTGGTGGATCCTTTCCGCATTGTGATTGGATTTCTACATAAGGCTTTTGTACGACCTTAATGGGTTTGGATTATTATAGCTCTTGATGCTCGCAGATCGCACGAACTATTTGTTTGTATGAATACATGTGGTGTCAAAATGATACTTGCTTGGGTCTAGCCCACCATGAGCGAAGTGGGAGATGTTGGATATTGGGTTTGGGTCGCTCCATATGAGCTGATCCGACCCAGTTAGAAAGGATAAGTAAACGAAGTTAGATGGGAGTTACAATACCAAAAACTACCACATAGAAGTGGTACGCTTAAATGGGGAATCAGATTCCACAACTTGGTAACTTCTCTTACAATCGTCTTCTTGCTTTTTGTTCTTCAACAGAGAACAATTCTCTGTGATTTTTCCAACAAAAACACACAAGAGAGGAAAGACATCTAGTTTGTGGATATAAACTTCATTTCCAAGTGAATTGAAGTTCGACTTGGGGTAATTTTTCGGTGGTGAATTCAATAATTCTTCTGCTGTAAATAGAAAGGTACACAACTTGTTGTTCTGCCCCTCGTTTTAATCTAACAATTTAAAATGCTTGTCAAAGTTCACTTAATTTGTCTTTCTGAGAGCTAGAAAAGTGATAGTTATTAACAAAGATACAATTTCTTTATTACAAAGATTGATAGAGAAGTGTGGAGTACTATCAGGGCCCTAGCGAGGTTCATGCAAGGATTCAATTGAACTTTCTTCACCGCAAAGAGGGCAAAATTGTTTTTTTTTTTGGGTTATATATAGCTGATGAAAAAAAGGAAAGACTCTAATGTAATGGCAAAGGGATTCAAAAATGCTTTAGGTCCTAAGTTCAATCCTAGGTGTACATTCTAACTTCCATTAATCTCTTTGTATAATATCATGGCTGACTACTATAGTATCAATTGTGAGACATTGTGCTATCAAAAACATGATAAGAGTACACTGCTTTAATTTGTGTACAATTTCTGTCTGGTATAACTGATTGTCATGACTGCACTAGTAGTGCTAAAAAGATTCAGCAGATAAAAAGGCTGGGTGTAAAAGCACCGAAATATAAGTTGAGAAAATGAGGTGTTGTGAGAACTAAAATATGTCTTGGTCGATCATTTCCGAGCATGGAAAATAAGTTGCAAGCATTGAAATTCGTTTTCCCTATCCTAATCTTTCATGATTTGACCTCTTCTTTGATTGGGATATAGTAAATATGCCCTAGATCCAATCTTAAATTTGATAATTTGAACATATTTTTGTGAACGTTATTTGATATAAAAATAGATGGCATAAGATATTCTTTTATCATAGTTATATTGATTATTTGATTAATTTGATAAGGCCCTTGATAAAATTTTGAGGCTACACATTGTGATGGAGATCGTGATAATGAGAGTGGAGTTTCTTATAATTTAATCTAAATTTGTTCTTGATCATAGGATTATTAATTTGGACATTAGTACTCCGGTTAGATCAATATTTACGTGATCGTAGTTATGGGATAAAGATTCGTTGATCTCATTAACTAAGTCACATAGATAGATGATGCATATGGAGATATGATCATTGAACCAACTCATTGGATAATTCCTAATGGTTAGAATTACCATAAACTATCAATAGGATATTCTCTTGAAGAATGTGATGTAAGAGATTCTTTTGACTTAAGATCATCATAGTAATAGACAAGTTATTTATTGTGCTTTGATACTAGACACATATGACCCTAGGGCAATAGTTGAAAGGATATTGGGTACGATTAAATATTTTATATATATATATATATATATATATATAAGAGAAATTTTCAGAAACCACTATAGTTTAGTGGCTATTAACTTTCTATAGCTGCCATATACATATTTACTTCCTATAACTAATATTTCGTTGCTACCGGATTGTATTCGCTGTATTCGCTATTGTATTCATGAATACAGCCGCAGAATTGGCCTAATAAGTAGGGAGTCCAGCTGTTTAATAACGAAAAGAGGATCAATTAGCGTGTATCACTCCTAATTTAACTCAACAAATTCAATTCTACAAATTTCGTTGCTACTGTGATGTATTCTATGTATTCGCACGCCTGTATTTATAAATACAGTGAGGTAATCGCCTAAAAATATAGACTACAGATATTTAATTATGTATTCTATGTAGTCGTGCGACTGTATTTATAAATACAATGAGGTAATCCGCCTAAAAAATAGTGATTACGTGTGTTAATAACGAAAAGCGCAATATCGAATTGTATTCAATTTTACTCTATTGAATTCAGTTGTATTCAAATAACAAAAAATTAAAAAATATAGTGTATACCGTTCTATTCAATTTGACTGTATACATTGTATTCAATTCACCGATATTCGTTAGTAACTATTATACAGTGTATTCAATTCATCGTATTCAATTCGATTGTATTCAAACAACCAAAAATTACAAAAAACAGTGATAGCCGACTGTATTAAAAAAATACAGACCTTCGGAATACATAAATACAGACGAAAATATAATGCATTTATACAAAAATATAATGTATGTGAGTATTGTACAAAATATAATGTATTTGTATCATTGTATGTAACTCAATAGCAAAGAAGAGAAAAAAGTTTGCCGGAGATGGCGCTTTTCGGCCAAGCAAAATAATACATACATTGTATTGAAACTAAAAATAGAGACGAACAAAAATCCGGCCCTCAAATCTTCTCCGGCGACTCTGCTTCAGATTTTCAAAAGCTCAATCTGTAGCCATGGCCAGATTTGTTCGCCTACTCCTTCTTAGCTTCAGATATATTCTCTTCGCTAAGAAAGTCCACCATCGCTACCAAATATGGCAGCTACGACTACTGCCTTGATGAAAAAGGGAGAGAGAATTGAGGAAAAAGAGAGAGGATTGAGAATCTTACTAATAGAGAGAGAAGAAAGGGAGAGAAGAAAAACATAACTGACGTATTTCATGCCTCAATGGTAGGGTATAAAATAAATACATATTTTACTATAAAATAGAAAAGGTAGCTACTTAATGTAAAATTTACTATTAATAAACTATCCAATTTGGATTGTAAATCCCACGAGAGACGTCGGCAACATGAAATCCATTTGTTATGGGGTTTGAACTTTCTTTTTAGCAAAATATTAATTAATGAAAATCCAATATTGAATTGGATTTGACTTTACTATCCAATTTTAACGTTGGACATGGAAAGTCCATGTAGAAGGGTTCAAACGCATTAAGAATGGGTTTCCGATTTTTCTTTACAAAAATTCCATGAACTTTATTTTTGAAATAAACTTATACCCTAAGTAAATCATTAACTCAACCAAATAGAAAATATATTTTTTCTTTCCTATACAATATTTGAAACCTATTTACCAAAATTGTCTTAATTTTGTATATTACCCACCCTAAACAAGGATTACTTACAAATTATATACAATCTATTATTAGTGCCCTAAATTAGGGGATTTAGTTACATATTTTTCCTATTTTATCGGTATTCCTCTTTTAACAAGACTCCTTCCAATTGTGTATTACCTATTTTAAGCCA